GCCGATTTAACTTATGCTTCATTGGCTATACGAAAGTTTCTAACTATGTGAAACATGAAGAAATAATCAAACTACTAAAAAAAAAAAATTAAACACTGATGGAAAAGATATACTTTTTTTTAACATGTTGACAGCAAACCGCACCTATAAGAACTAATACTATTTAGGAAAATTTCAGAGCATACAGAAAGGCGCTGTCAGCTAACATCCGCGAGGTGGACAACTTTACAGAATTACTAAATGAATTGCTTTTCACCGATGACCAGACAACCATAGCACCAACAGCAGTACAACTACAGGAACATATTAATAGACTCCACTCAGAATGTGACGACTATGATATGAAGATCAATGTAGACAAAACAGAAGTGATGACATTCTACAGAAATGGTAGAACCACCAATATCAAAATTGATGAACACCAACAGATTGAAGAATAAATAAAGCAAATCCAACAAAGATGCAATAAAGCCAATCAAGTTTTATGCCAAATGGCACCAAGTTTGAAATGCAAATATGAACACTAAAAGAAGACTGTTTAACACAATATTTTTACCAACGCTATGCTGTCAATGTCAAACATGGACACTGTCTTCAGAAGACAGAAGGAAATTAGTCACGACAGAAATGAAATGTTTACGTACTATGCTAGGGGTAATGAGGAAAGATTCTCTGATTGGTGCCCCACTCTAAGAGGTGAAGTTAGGCGTCTTTTTGGAAAGTAATGAAGATAAAGATGGGGGAACGGATGGAGAAATTAAAAATACGAATACAAAAGGCTAGAAGAGCTTTTATTGCACTAGGAAATTTGTGGTAAAACAAAATTTAAACTAATACTTAAATTAAAATTTTTAATTCTAAATCATATCAGTATTGTTGTGTAGAGCTGAAACACGGAGGGCAACTAAAACAGTTAATAATTAAACTACAAACATTTATTTGTAACTGTTCACATCTTTCACATAATCTTTCACTAATCTGCCGATTGTACATGCTTCGCTTTTGTATGTCAAGATTTGGTGCGGTGATTTCGGTCAGAGGCGTGAGGGGAAGTTAAGGCCGTTGTGTATTAGGAGATACCCCGTATCTCTGTGCTGGTTTTACGTGTCCTCGTGGAATACCACTGCCACACGTCCTCGTCGTGCGCTACGGATACTATCTTATATCGGCCTAAACCCAGCTGATGGGGGATCTCGGAGTTGGTGCCCCCCCCCCCCCCTTTTCCCATAAATCTCCTAGCCCTCGTCAGCCCATTCCATGTGCATGGATCATAGTGTACACGAACAACTCATCTGGAACATCAGTAAAGTCTGCTTGTCTGTGTCTATTTGTGCAGGGAATCCAAGTCTTATGTCTGCAGACTGCTTGCTGGAGATCCATCAAGGGCGCTGTCTGCAATTTATGGATGTTAGGTCCAACAGTAATGTGCAGGACATGACGATTCCTTTGATGAGTTCAGGACCCCAGGACCATGTATCGACTCTGCATTTGCGAAAAGGTCTTTTGATAGCGGAGAATGCCCATGGTCTGTTCCTGCCTTCCCTCAAGGGTCGACCAGACTAGGAACAGATGCCCTGGACAGTCCATTCATCTAGGACCTTAAAGATGAGGAATGACCTCACATATGAGGCTAAAGATGTTCCGCGAAACTGACCAGGAAGGATGATCTGGATAACAAATACCAAATGAAGTCGGATGTGTCTACCGAAAGTCACAAATATCGTAGCTACACCACAGCGGGTACCTTTTGTTTAATTGCGCAATAATAGCAATTATTGTGTCCTGAATGGTAAATAATATAATAATATACTTGAAATAATATGAAAGGTGAACAAATACTTTAAAATAGGACCTTAATACACTGTGGGAGAGGTTCAGCCTCCCCGCTCCCCTCCCCCTTTTTTCTGCACCGAAATGTCTTTTTTTTTTTAGGGGGGTGGGGTTTCAGCGCCTATTATGCTTGTTTTATTTGTTTCTCTCAGTTTATCTGCTTTGTCACGTACACAACTATCTGCTTTGTCACGTACACAACTATCTGCTTTGTCACGTACGCAACTATCTGCTTTGTCACGTACACAACTATCTGCTTTGTCACGTACGCAACTATCTGCTTTGTCACGTACACAACTATCTGCTTTGTCACGTACGCAACTATCTGCTTTGTCACGTACACCACTATCTGCTTTGTCACGTACACAACTATCTGCTTTGTCACGTACACAACTATCTGCTTTGTCACGTACACAACTATCTGCTTTGTCACGTACGCAACTATCTGCTTTGTCACGTACGCAACTATCTTCTTTGTCACGTACACAACTATCTGCTTTGTCACGTACACAACTATCTGCTTTGTCACGTACGCAACTATCTGCTTTGTCACGTACACAACTATCTGCTTTGTCACGTACGCAACTATCTGCTTTGTCACGTACACAACTATATGCTTTGTCACGTACACAACTATCTGCTTTGTCACGTACACAACTATCTGCTTTGTCACGTACACAACTATCTGCTTTGTCACGTACGCAACTATCTGCTTTGTCACGTACACAACTATCTGCTTTGTCACGTACGCAACTATCTTCTTTGTCACGTACACAACTATCTGCTTTGTCATGTACACAACTATCTGCTTTGTCAAGCACGCAACTATCTGCTTTGTCACGTACACAACTATCTGCTTTGTCACGTACGCAACTATCTGCTTTGTCACGTACACAACTATCTGCTCTGTCACGTACGCAACTATCTGCTTTGTCACGTACACAACTATCTGCTTTGTCACGTACGCAACTATCTGCTTTGTCACGTACACAACTATCTGCTTTGTCACGTACACAACTATCTGCTTTGTCACGTACACAACTATCTGCTTTGTCACGTACGCAACTATCTGCTTTGTCACGTACACAACTATCTGCTTTGTCACGTACGCAACTATCTGAAGACACTTGAGACAAGTCTCGTTAATTAGATGTTGTTTTCACAAATTATGGATCCCCTTTTCTCGTTATAAGTACCCACTGCCTTCTCTAATAATAAATAAATAGAGAAGGCCGTGTAAGTACCACACTTTTCTGAAGTTTGATTTTATTTTGACTTCCTATTTCGATCATTGTTAACATTTTTTGCACATGCAACAATTATTGTATTAGAAAGGACGCAGCCTATGTTATTAAAACCTTGATAGAGATTAAGTTGCTGTTATTTTAAGTAATATGCTTTTATTTAATAGTATCATTGTCTACATCATTAACTGATTTACTACATGACCGTAGTATTGAATACGGATGAAAGCATTTTAGCTGCAACGTCAGTTTTGCCATTCGTGATTGTGTTTTATTGGAAAGCTGGCCAGTTCTAGAAAATCTTCTTCGTTCTCGGCATTCCCAGCCCTTGAGGTTGATTGCTGCAAATATCACCCGCCTCCACTATCTCTTTGGTTGGCCCTCTCTTTCCAGTTGGTGACACCAAGTGTGTGAAAATCTGTCTGGATATGATCTCTCAGTAATCTTGGATATGATCTCTCAGTAATCTTGGATATGATCTCTCAGTAATCTTGGATATGATCTCTCAGTAATCTTGGATATGATCTCTCAGTAATCTTGGATATGATCTCTCAGTAATCTTCTTGGTCCGCCTCGTGGTCTACGACCATTCAGCTTCCATGTGTATACAGTTTTTTTGTTACCTTTCTGTCATCTGACACTTCTCTCAAAATGCACCAATCATTTCAGTCTATTAGCTTTCATGGTGCTAGTGATCAATAGTGATTTAAACAGATTATGAATTTATTTGTTGCTCACTCTCCGTTCCCATCTTTGATGGGTACAAAGATTCGCCGTAAGACTGTTTTCGAAAATTTTTAATAAGGCTTCATCTCTTTTAGTTTTGCTCCAAATTTCAGAGCCATATTAAATGATTTTGACTTTGGGAGATGTTCAAGGACAAAGTATACCTTATTTTCACAGTGTAATTCTTCTCTCAGCATGTTAGAGCAGTTGAAGTTTGCACCCAAGTATTTATGTGTTTCCGTTCGTTTGATTTTCATATTATCGACTTGTATGTGGCCGGAGTTTATATCATTTTCCTGTCTTGTTATTATTAAGTATTCTGTCTTATCTTGATTGGTAACTAGTCCCATTTTGTGAGCTGCTTCTGTCAAAAAGAGTCAGTGCTTTTTTTTTCTCTAAACCGTCGCTAATTCTCTTTCTCCAAAGATATCAATGACATCTGCATAACCAAGTTTTCTTACAGTTTCTCTTTTGTATACGTTTCAATTTCTGTGAATTTTTTTTTCAGGGCCTAGTTGAACAGAAGTGGGGACAGAGCATCACCTTGCTTTAAACCAGATGTTATTTGAAAAGTGTATGACTTTCTGCCTTTATATGTTACGATTTTATAAGTGTTTTCCATATATAGTTTAGTCATGGTGATTAACTTTTGTGTGTGGGTATTCCAAGTCCTTTATAGCTTTTCATAAACTGTTCCCATTTACACTCTCATATGCCTGTTTTAAATCACCAAACAAATTATGCACATCTCTGTATTCCCAATTTGCGGTAAAATTATGATCTGATCTATTCTGTCGGAAACCTGCTTTGTATTCAACCAATATATCTTCGACGTATAGTTTTAGCCTGTTTAGCAGTACAGCCGATAGTATCTGATAGCTTGTAGACAAAAGTGATATTTCTCTAGGTATGTTCTAGATATGTTTTTAAAAAACTAACTAAACATGTTTTTATGAGCGGAACCACGCGCAACCATTACCCCGGAAGTGAATACAAAGTTTCCGGTTTATAACGCTAAGAAAGATTACGTTTGCTGAGGATCCGGGGAAAAGTGTTTATAATTTTTTTGTTTTGTTTGTAAATTGTATGATTATCAAGATATTTATGACCTCAGTATCAGTAGGCACTTTGTGAATGAGCAAGTTTATTTAAGAAGTTGATGAGGGAAGGGACTCATAACCTCTCATATATTTTTAAAAAATGCAGAAGATCGGCGTCCCAAACATGCTACCAAGTTCTGCTGGGGACAGAGGAGGAAACTTAACAGGGATTATCAAACCTTTAGTTCCAGAGGTATGTACTACCATACTACTAATAATGTAATAATCTGTGTATCTTTTATTTGTATACTCACAACTGTTTTGTTTGATTTTCTGTATAAACACTAAAGGATAGTAAATAGTCAGTATCAGTAAACAGCAAGCTCAGTATGAGAGTAGTAGACTAACAATAAATAATTTGGCTCTACTCCGAATAACGGTCCCAAATTATCTATGCAGAAAGTAAACCCTAACAGCCTTTATTACGTCCAGCCCTACAAACATTTAAAAGTTCTACTCTGAAAAAATAAGGAACGAAAAGCATGAGGAAAAGGGCGAAGTCTACTACTTACCGATCCTTTATAACTTTATAAGTGAAAGTTGCAGCACAGAAGGGAAATAGTGCGCAAATATCTGTTCTTTCTGGCTGTCCACCATTCCAACTCAGCTGAATAAGATGGGAACAGGACGCGGCTTGTCCGTGATTCTCGTTCCGGGCGAGACATAATCAGTAAAAGTAATGCGCATTTTAATGTACGCGCATGTTGCCTCGGGACAACTTTAAACCAGCATCCATCACTATGGCGTTTCACTATCCCGACCACCCCTTGACCGTGGCGAATGCGACCACGCTGCCAGTTATGACGGAAGAAGTAGCTCATGACTTTTTTCCGGCGACTATAGTGCCACCTCCGAGTGTATCCCCCACACCGCTATGCACGGCACAGAAGGGGCTAAACTAGATGGCTAGGTCTCACGAGCAAATACAGTGGAGGAAGCTGCAGGAGAAGTGGTAGTGGTAGATAATTTGGGACCGGTATTCAGAGTAAAGCCAAATAATTTATTAATATTAATTAATTAAAATATGAGAATAAATTTTACTATTGAAATAATAATAGTGCAAATAAATAATAACATTCCTTTTTCATTTACCTTTTTTATAATTATATAATCATAAACATGTAGCAGATCCTTTGCAGAACATTGCTGTCATCACGGTCTGTCTGAAAGAAACTCAGTCTCTCTCCTGCCTCAGGTACTTCATACTCAAGGAGTCACTTTATATCCTGTACTGTGCCCATCTTTGTGTTGGTCGGCCCCTGCCCCTCCTTCCTGGTACCATGCCTTCTGCTATTATTTTGTCTAATCCCTCATGGTGCTTCATATTACCAAAATATTTCAGCTGCCGCGACAGGAATACTGTTTATTAGCCAATCTTTCTTAATGTATGTATTTCTCCTCTTCTGTGTCAAAGATATTCTGAAAATCTTTCTATAGCATTTCTACTCAAAAGCCCCTATTCTCTTTCTGGACCCACATCAGTATGTTGCTACAGGGAAGATATATATGCTCTAAAAATTCAAATTGTTATCTCCTTGCTGGTGCTTAGACTTTTATATAATAGTAATTATAATATATATATATACATTTTTATTTTTAGAAAAAAGAATATATTATATATATATTATTATTATTACTATTATATAAAAAAAGGCAAATGAAAAAGTAATGTTATTATTTATTTGCACTATGACGATTATTATCTGTTGAGTACACTATTGTTTCCTCTCAGAAGAAAACACATGACAACATTAGTAAAATTAGTTTAGATATTAAATCAGAGACAGATCTGTCAAGGTTTACAGTGAGATACAGCAACAAATTAGCGTTTTATATTTATGTCATCAGAACGAGTAAATCTGTCATACAGATAAAACAATATGTACAATGGTTAATATGTAACTAAAATGTATTTGTAATAATTTCTCAGAGAGAATTTTTGATTGAAATAGAATTTTTTGGCGTTAAAGAATGAGACAGGCACAATTTGCTGGGTCCAAAACAAAAGAAACCATTTTTAGTAATTCATATGGGGAAAGATTGTTTGATATTCATCCTACCCATCAGGAATGAAATAATGATAAACATTGTTTTACTACAAGCACGCATACACGCGTGAACACACATGATCGAGGGCAACAGTATCATAGCTGCTAGACTCTCACCTAAAAGTCTTAGGTTTGAATCTCAGTCAAGCCTAATTTTTTTTAATCATCTTGGCTCCAGTGTTAGACTAAGTTTGAAATGACTACCACATAAACCATAAAGTTATAGGGAGTAAAGGTGGCAAGCATGATATTGACCACATTGTCCATCGAGTGCTGACTGGTCGATTAATAACAAATTAATCTAGCATCAAATGCTTATTACGCGGTTGACATAAAAAAAGATCCTTTGATCTACAATACAGGATCAAGACAAGATCATCAACCATAGTAACTGCAACCTTTGCTTACTCCTCAGGAACAAGGCAGTGGGTACATTGCTGACAAAACTGTGAAAGCTGAAAAAAGGATTCAAGTCTACCCTTATGACACAGAGGCATGGAGTATTTTGATTCGAGATGCACAGGTATGTCATATGTTGCTGGTACATATATGTTTATGTCAGGTTACATATTTATTACCTGTAGCTCGTTAACATGTATTCCTTTAAAATCATTTATAGTTCCACCAATGGCCACCATATTCAGAAGCTTTATAAGCAAACTTTTTTTAATGCTTGCTGTTTTCTGATTTTCCCAGTCCATGTGTTCCCCTCTTCAGGCTTATACCTGAATATTTGACCACCCTTACAACTGCACGAGTTGCATTCTGGATGACAGTCTGACCGGGGAAAATTAAGATACCCTGTTCAGTTTATAAGGAAGTTATAATTAGGGTACTCTTGATCACCACACCAAGTGGTTCACCCTTCAGTTTTGTGCAGATAATGGATTTCTTAATGTCCTCTGTCAGCTCTTGTCTGTGCTGTAGTTGTTAACTCTTTCGACTAAATAGAGTTTTGTACAGAAATCATTTTTCATTAAATATTTCCATGAAAACTCTAACCATTTACTTTGTTATAGAAATGAAAAAATAAATGAAAGATACTTTTGTAGCCACTATTTTTATTTAATGTACAGTGACCAAAACTGAAACATAAGGAGACACTTGAATATTCAGTAATACACCATGCATTTGTTGTGACTGAAAGAGTTAAGATCCTCTATGATATGTGGGATTTTTGGAAGGTTTATGAAGATGTGAAGATAATCTCTATGGGCCGTATACATCTAGACTTGCCTGGCTACCAGGAAGTTATAGTTCTTGAACTGGGCAAGCTTTGGATTCAGTTGAATGACTCATACTTTCATGTGCATTCTAGTACATTGTCAGTTAGCTCACCTCAAATGATAAACATTATAGTAAATGACATAAGTTAAATAATCAAGATGCAGTTTTAATTCCCATCACTGCAAAATCTTTGTATTTGATTGTTTTTGTTTCTTCTTTTCTTTTGTCGTCTCACTGATACCAGGTTGTAGCCCGGTTTCGTGGTTTTCTGTATTTGTCTTGCGCTTCTGGGATGGCTTGGAAAACGGATTTGTTCATCTTTTTGCAGGTTTCTGTCTTATTCATCTTTCATTCGCCATAAAATAAATCCTATTATTCTGCATATCGACATCTCTAAGGTCCCAATACGACCTAATTTCTTGTTCAATGATTAGATTTCTGCACCGTATAGTAGGGTCGAGCATAAATGAGGCTAGACATTTTTCATCTTTAAAATGTTATTTCTCTAGATGTAATAATTTTTCACATGTTGAAAATTATTTTGCCATTCCTCTTATTATATGTTTAAGGTAGGGGAGGCTTGTTGCTCGTTCTCGCATTTCTTCATCTCTGTCTCTTCTACTGTTGATCTTTTCAGTCTTTTTGATGTTTTTCTAGGCCTCTCCTCTCATCATATGACTCCCAGAAAATTCGTTTTCCTCTGAGAAGCTGCCTCTGATGTTCTTGTTAGGGGCCTCATGGTAAAGTGGCTGATTTATTTTCCTTGTGCTGTAAAAGTCGTGGGTTTGTTTTACAAAAGACCAATCGTTTTGCTCTCAACTTTAACTTTAGTTCATATACTTCCTAAAGTCCATGCCATATGGCATTGGTAATCATGTCTATCCACAGCCTTCTGGCTCGTGTACTTTTAGTCAGCTCTAACACAGATGTCAGACTGTCCAGTATCTTTTCTCTCGGTCTCCCTCTGCCTCTCCTGTCCTCCAACCTTCCTTCTGTCATGATGTACTCCAGTTTTCTCCTTCTGATCACATGACTAAAGTATGTAGATTGTCTCTTTCTGATATGGGCAGTCAGTTCTCTTCACGAGTCAGTTTCTTTCAAGATCTTCTTCATCACTCTTTTTATCTGTCCAGGGTATTCTTATCATTCGTCTATAAAACCGTCTTATCCTTCAGCAAAGCATAAAATTAGTGCAAACCAATTTGTCTTTCTTTGACATACCTTTTTCTGTTCTTTCCAATTGAACCAGAATAAATTAAAAACAAAAAAAAAACATTTCCTGCTTCATTTAATACCACATGACAGGTGATTGGGGCGTTATATCACATTTTGTGCCCTGACCACCTGAAGAAAAGGTATACATTTGCTCAGGGTACAAGAATGATTCTCAGAATTGTAGTTGTATATTAAATTCTGCATTCTGCAGGGACCATTTTGAAATTGAGGATCGTCTCGGGCCAGAGGCTCAAGCCCCAGAATAGAAAGATCAATAATATAGTACAGATGACAATGGTCCGCAGGCCACTTGCTAGGTTTCTGCCTGCTGCCAGTTGAATGGTCCTGGTGTACATCATTACAAAAACGTTTTAAAATCATGATTCAGAGTTTAATGAGCAAACCGAAAGAAGCAGTGCTTGAAACAGCTAATGTCGCGTGACAGTAAGTTTGCCATTAATTTCTGAATGGTTCAACACTCACGCTGTAGTCAAAATTGATGCAAAGCAGTCTGCTGTGAGGTGGCCTGCAGCTGACTTTGAACTGATATGTCAGCATTGTGAAACTGCGCTCATAACATACATGCCGTTAATGCCAATGTCTCTTAGCAGTACCAGAGTACTTTCACTGTAATTTCTATATCAGCTCTTTCGAATAGTTATTACTATTATTTCCCTTAGCACAGAGTATTATTATAACATAATAACCACCTGAGACCGGTTGCACCCCACTGACAGTTTTAATATCATTGCCCCAGAGTTTTCATTCAGCCTTCAGCTCCACTATTTAAATTTTGTTCAGGTAGCTAAACACATAAACTCCTACCATGCCTTATATCACCACCATTATTATTTTTTGTCTAGACAATTTAAACCAGTAAACGTATTTATACGAACACTATTTTAACTTTTACCCAGTTACCCTACAGCCACTCTATTACCCATGACACTGGACTACTATCTGCTAACGGCGTGATGACGGAAGAAGACACTACAGCCTTCTGGTTTATACAGCACCACTATTTTAACTTTGAAAAACACATTTTAAAAAATAGTTTTGAGTTTTTCTTTTCAGTCAAAATGTTTGGTGACATAACGGCTCATAAAATGAGTGCTGGTGTCTCTGCAAGATGGTTCAGCTTGTCGTCTCACATTATGTTTTAGCTTATGTGATAGTATTGGCCTTCACATGTTTTCTTTACCTATGTAAAATTTCTTATGGAGTCCTTATTTCTTTTATGATAACTTTGCAGATTAAAAAGATCGAGGATGCAAGGGTGATCTATGAACGACTCGTGGACCAGTTCCCCAATGCAGGCAAATACTGGAAGATCTATATCGAACATGAGGTTTATGAAAAATTTTACGTTGACACTGTTGCAAGAGTAATATTTTATTGCCCTTAATTTATTCTATAGCATTTAAGAACAGTTGATTCATAAAGACACTGTTGCAACCCAGAATGCGTTGGCCTTTTTCTTAACCTTTTAGGGCTGCGTGTTGGTGTTATTTCTTCACATGCAAATATTTATTCATGGTAAAATTACATTACGGTTTGAAAGATTTTAAGTGGAGGTATTTATGTGTTTTATTTTTAATATGCAGTGAATCAGTTCAAAAAAGAATATATATATATATATATATATTTATTTATGATTTATGATAAACTTCATGGAATAATCATTGAGCTGAGTTGGACTTGTTTTTGTGCACCACATTTCCATTGTTGCCATATCACCATGTTTTTTTAAAAAAATGTGTTTGTTGTCCTTTGTGGTGAATTTGAACCTGTCATCAGAACCAGCAGAAAGGGCACACTTGGTGAATCATTGCTTAATTCAGGCACCCTGTACAGTATTTTTTGTGTTTTCAGTCAGCCATAAAGTGATTAGTACCCGTTTGTTGATTCCTGCTGCCAAGCAAAGCCTTAGTTCTTCTATACATTAACAAATTTTCCACAACTCATAAAATATTCCAGAATTTTAGTAACAGGCAAAGTCAGTGCTTTCTGACACTAGTTGGGTCCTTTTTATTTCTTTGTGTTCACCGGCTGTAAACTTCCACGCAAAGTTCTTGTAGTTTGTCCACTCTAGACTTTGGTCTTGTTACACAATTTTGCATGCCCATCCATTTTACAGATCTGGCTTATATAATGCAGACTGTTGGTTCCTGGCCTCTGAGGCAGATGCAGTGACAGAAACCCCTAATTAGCGGACTCCTATTGCATGCTTGGTTGAGTGCCAGTGGGTCTTTTTTTTTTTTAAAAATCTCTCTGCAATTGGGGCACCAGAACCCGAACCCACAGGTAGTGTACAGAAACATAAATGCCATAACTAGTCAAATGTTTCAGCATTTTAGCAACATGCAAGGTCAGTGTTTTCTGTGGCTAGTTGGTGCCAGGCTCTGTGTGTGTGTGTGTGATACTGGGTTTGGAAGTGCATATGTTTATTTGGGGAAGGTGGGGCAGTGAGTAGCTAGCTAATCTTTGTCTAGCACACAGCATAATCCCACTCTGAACTTTTTCTTGGTTCCCTGGCTTTAAACTCAAGCAGAAAGTTTTGATTGTTAGCCCAAGTCTTTTTCTAGACTGAATTTTGCCTGCTCATCCTTTTTTTTTTTAAAAACAGATGTATATGCTGACTTGTTTTCTTTGCCGCTGAGGCAGGTGTCTTCTGACTTCAGAGCAAAAATACCTAATTAGTCAGCTTTTGTGATAGGCATGTTAGGGAGACAGTGGGTCTGTTCTGCACCCCCTCTCTTTCCTACACACAGTTGGTCCTCTTTCCCACACACAGTCGGTCCCAGAACCAACAGGAGAAGAAAGACTAAACATATCCAAGGACAGCAATTCAAGACCATGCCATTACAGACATGATGCCAAGTGATATCTGGAGTTTTACATGTTGGTAACCCTTGGTATACACGACACCACGGTAAAGCTCTCTTGTATTTATTTCTTAAATTCATTGATTAACTGTTACAGTTGATCTCCGCTTTACAAATTTTTGTCTGTCTGGGGTGGGGCAATTCTCAAACTTTACTTTTACAGTCACTCAACCCTTGCTAGAAAACTTGTGCAGGATCAAGAATCTGTTAGAGAGTAAAGTTCTGCAAAGAACTTATTACACGATATGAGGCATTTGTAATGTATTGTCACCACTGTTTAAACATGAATCTAGAATATTGTTTAAAAATCTTTAAAGGGTCTTCCGACCTTCTCTAATGCTTTCCGCTTACAAAAAATTTGAATGTTTCAGTGAGCGACACTCATTACACCTTACTACTGACATAACACACAAATAAATTTTGAGGCCCTATGTAGCTCTTCATCATTATATCATTGGGTTGGGGGGAGGGGTGGAGTCCCCCAGTAGGGAGTTTGTTTATAACACAAACTTCTTTCTCAGCTGCTGGCTTTCTTTTCTTTTTTGATCGTTTAGTGTAAGATGCTGCTTGCCTTCTATTTGTTTAAAACTCTTAAAGGAAATGGAATCAGGAAATCATTAAGCGTTTAAATTGGAAGGCCAGTGTGTATTGTCTTTAATTTTTTGGGGACCGGTTTCGGTGGAGAGTTGGAAAAAAGACAAACTAATTATGGGTGTTTTCTTCAAAGAGGTGATGCATCTGCTGACTGACGTGGAACCAACAGCCTGCAAACAAATTAGCCAGATCTGTGAAACATATGTGCACTCAAATGCCAGGTCCTGGAACAAAAGTCCAGAAGTGGGCAAACAAACAAAATTGTCATTAATTTTGGTAAATTTCTGTCATTTAGTTATAATACCCCTACTTTATAAATCTGAGACACATGCACACATGTTACACAGTGAAAACTCGGTGATAAGAACTATTCCTAAAGCAAGCATGCAATCCTTTATGTGATACATTTGGCTCATCAAGTTGCAGGAATCATATTCCATGGGTGAATTACCATTTTGCTTGGAGAAATCATCACCTTAGTTATTTTAGTGTTTCTTCTCGGTATTCTTGACTTGCAATATTATTGTTACCCCACTGCTAATTTAACATAACCCATGACCCGTTAGGGTCACGGAGGTGTTTTGATGGAAGCACTAGCACATAAAACCTTTCTTTGTCTTGTTTGGTGAACAAGTGTATAATAACTTAGTCCTGTCCATTTCTTAATGTCATTCCAGGTTCTTCTTTGTCCTCCTCTTCTTCGACTACCCCCCAGTGTTCCTGAAGCACAATCTTTACAATCGAATCATGTCTCACCAGATGCCCGAATCAAGCTAGCTTGCAGCGTTTCGCTGCTGCCAAGAGAGGCTCCTGATGTCCTGCAAATTTGTATATTTTGTTTCTGACATATTTGTTAGTTTTTTATTCTAAATAACTAATTTATAAAATGCATCTGTAGCATTTACATTCGAAAGCCTCAATCCTTTCCATTTCCACAGTGAGAGTCAAGTCTCACACCCGTATAAGAAGAGACAATACCAGTGATTTGTATGTATTGACCTAACTATGATTTTGATTTAACTGATATTCACTTCATCCACTCCGTAGGCAATTTTTATTTTAGCTGATGTCTGTCACATTTTCAATCCACATTTCACAATCTTTCTCAATTGTGAGTTAGTAAGTTAGTTGGTCAACAGATGATGCTGACATCAAACTGCAGCATTTTGAGACTGATTACACCAATTCTGTGTTGGTTTCTTATTCTTCTTTGGCTTCCTTTGTATTACTCTTTGTCTGGCCACACTCTTGTGAACTTGCTGTTCTTACGGTCTCGATGTGGTTGCAGATTCTCGTAGACAATTCCGTATACATAAGCATGCTCACCCTTGAGAGTAGCCTTAACTGCAAACCTTTCAGCTTATCTCCTTGCACTACGCCTGCATGCCCCGACAAGGAAATGAAACGGATCTTTGTCTGTCCCAACCGCCTCTTCGGACCCAGCAGAACGGAGACTGAGAGAAAAGATGCTGGACAGTTTGACATGGCATGAGCGATCATCTGTGTCAGAGTTGATTGAAAGTACACGAGACAGAAGGTTGTGGATAGACATGATCACCGTCACATGACATGGACTTTAAAAACAAGAAGAGCATACTCACTGAGAAAGCGTGCATGGTCGAAATTTCTGTGTCTCCAGCAGTTATTGTTTTGGTCATTGTCATGACCTTCATAGTCAGATTACTTGTAAGCATGACAGAAGCACCAGAATCTTGCCTCACTTCTCTCCCTCCAACCTGAGCTGTCAGTGCCCATGAGCCTCTGTGTAAATGACAGAACCTCATCTTAGAGAATTCTTAAAAACCAAGGCCCAAAATTTTGCCTCTGCTACGGCCTGAATTTTCGGTCTAGTTGAGTGTAAACAGGAAAGGTTGTACAGCATTCTGTTGGCACTTGTACCCACTCTTTGCCAGCTTCTTTGTCCCCAAGTGAAAACACCTTCTAAATAATGTTCTCAGCTTGGCCCATCCATGATTTTAATCTTTTTAAGTGCTGCCTTTTTCTTTGTAATTTTACTGTTTAACTGGTGTTGTGTGTCTGTGTTGACTATGAGGTAGGCACGTGTTTGGCAGATTTGTATTGTTGTAACAATGGTTGTTGTTCTTGCGTGCTAGAGCATTGGCCTGGGCTCAAAACTACTTAATGATGAGATTAAAAAAAACAATTTGTTTGAATATGTTTGTACAGTTGACCCTGCATGAGAAGAATCGGCACCATACATTATTAAGGATTTTTTGAAAATGATTAACATAGCCTTACTACCAAATGAAAGTATGCCTCTTCCATCTTGCGAATTCAGTCAATGTATGTCTGCTGATACCTTTCTGGACTGTTAAAAACATCTAAAATAATTTACTCTTTTTTATTTCCTTTTTCCCATTTCATAAATATTTCCAGTTGTCACATGTTCCAGTTTTTTTTTTAATTTTTACGTGGCCAAGAAATTATTTTCTATTTCTGATGTATGTGTGTTGGTTTTTACTGGGGGGGGGGGGGGGGGGGGGTATTTTTTTCTTTTCCATGGTGTTTTATTTAATCATTTTTCATGACAAGAAATTTTCAGCATTTTTTAAAATCACATCTCCTTGGCCTTTATTATTTTGTTGCCTATTTTGTTGCCTGTTACTAATTGTCAAAAGATTCACATCCATTATGGAGAGGAGACCTCATATATCATGCTAGAATTAATTTCTAACCTCCAGTGGGAATTTGTGTACGTTATATGGAAATGGAATTAGAAAATAAAACTGCAAGGTCTTATGCCTCTTCAGGCTATCCTTTTTTACCTTCTCTGTTGACTTTTATTTCACATCTCTTTCATTTTCCTAACGCTTCCCTGTCTGTAAACTTGAATGGAAAGCTCTGGTTG